ATTGCTGAGCAATTAACAAACTTCGACTTTGCTTTTCCTAGTCCTATAAGAATGCCATTGGTATCCGGGTGGGCACTGCGTTGAATCTATAAGCGGCTTTGGGTAGTACAGGCATTTCAAATGTATTAATTCTCCCAGTCTGCGAGCTTCCACGGTCTTTCTCTTGTGTGTACACACACCGTCTTCAGTTTCTTTCATCAGGGCTTTTGCCATTTTTTTCATTATAGGACTTGTTACTTCTTTGCTTAGGCTTATTTCTAGACTTTCTGGGTTTGTTTGTTTGTTTGCTGCTGGCCCTGAATTCCCAGGTTCTATCCATCTTTCCTCAGCATCCTGAGTAGCAGGGACCATGGGCTGGTACACTCCCACACCCGGCTTATTCCAAGGCATTTCATTTGTCTTCTTTCACTTTAATTTTGCTGCAGTGGTGAATGGATAGAATGCCACCCACATCTCTTAAGGAAGTTCATTGCTAGTGCATGCAATACGGCTGGCTTTTATGTTGGGTTATGGGGATTTTATGTCCTTCGGTTTTACTGAATTCCCTTATCCGTGTCTTTGGTGGGGTTTGCAGAGGTGTTTGTTTGTTTGTTTTATCTATATATGACATCATTTCCAAGCAGATGATTTGTTTTCTTCTTTTCCTACTTATATACCTTTGATTTCTTTTACTTGATAGCAAATTCAAAATAACCGTTATAAAAAACAGCAAATTTTGACTGGCAAGGGTGCAGGGTAGGGCTCAGGCACTGCTGGTGGAATACAGATCAATCAGTACAGACTTCTTAGTGTCGAGGTTTCAAAAAGAGGAAAATCAGATTGTGCAAAGAATCCAGCAAACCCTACTCTTGGTTCTACCCAAAGGAAATGACCAGAGGCAAGCTGCAAGCAGAGTGTGGTCTATGACAACAACTCAGATGCAGGATCAACCTACAAGAAAATATGTGGTGTGTGTGTGCGCGCGCGCGTGTGCGTGCGTGTGTGCGTGTGTGCGCGTGCGTGTGTGCACGCAGTGGAGTATGGCTCTACCATAAAGCTGAAACTCTGTCACCTGTGGCAGGATGGACTCAACTGACAGACATTATGGTGGAATAAGCCACATTCCACATCCTTTCTAGGCCAGGATCTCTCACATGTGGAAACCAAAGCTATAGTTCTCACAGTAGATGAAAGTGGTCTAACCCCTGGGGCACAGGAGAGGGAGAGGAGGAGAGAGGTTAAATGATGTTGGACAGTGGGTACCAAGACACACTGCCGCATATAGGCAAGAGGTTATAGTTCACAAAAGCACAAGAACCCAAAGGTTCCTCATCTATGGGGATAGAGACGGCTCAGAGGTTAAGGGCTCTGGTTGCTCTTGCAGAGGACCTGGGATTGATTCCAAGCACCCACAGGGCATCTCACAACCACCTGTGACTACAGTTCTAGGAGATCCGATGCCCTCTGTGGCCTCCATGGGAACTGCACATGTGGTAAACTTACACACAGGCACACAAAATAGTTATACATGTATAAAGTAAAAATAAACACATCCTTTAATAAAAAGGCTTCATGCATAGACAAGTGATAAGGAGATGGAAAGCTAGCTGCCGAGGTAAATGAGGACACACTGTACACACGCACTGAAATACCAGCACATTGTATCCCACGAATGCATACAATTGCTATGAATTAACTTTAAGGTGAGATAGGTACATACAATTGCAATAATTATCTGGTCAGGGAAAGCACGGTGAATGAGAGCAGGCCCTGTACAGGAGAGGTGGGTATGGTCATCCCAGGCAGAGCGTAGTGAGGATGATCATACAGAGGTGGAAACTCGTGGCAGCACTGTCTGGAGGATACTCTAAGAGAGGAGGTCAGCACCTGGTGAGGCTGGACCACATCAGACCAAACTTCCAAACAGAACAGTGCTTAACTGCTGAACAGTGTGTTCCAAATCGAATAGTGTCATCCTTCTGGAAGGGATGATGCCTCCACTCTGATTGCTTGGATCTGGGAAAGTTAGGTGGCCAGCCTAAGAAGTACCAGTGAATATGCCAAACTTTTTCTGGGTGGTGTCAGGAAGGTGACCCAAGGACTATGGGTCAAAGCAGCACTTACCAGATTGTGTAAGCAGCCAGGATTCAAATGAGACGCACGGTTCCCACAGCAGCAAAGTTGGGGCGGGGAGGATGAGTAGGTCTTGTCACACTGAACTCTCCTGAGTCCTGCCAGAGAGAGGTGCTGATTTAGACTTAGGAACCAAGTGTTTTCCACGGGCTAGGAGGCCATCGGCCTTGTCAAGGGTCTGTAAAAGGCAAGTGTGTAGGACTAAGCTGTTGGGGAGGATTTGGGGAGTCTAGTGAGGAGTTTACCTCTAACTTGCTTACTTCTATGATGGCCCTCATGCCCACTGTGCAGCCAAATTCTGGGAATACCTCTCTCTCCTGACAAAAGGAACTAATAAAAACTAACAGTGCTGCCCACTCTCACAACACACCGCACAAAGCGTACGAGCTTACTCCCCGACAACTGCAGTGGGCATGCTCAGCCAAAGGACCCTCGCCTGCTGATCTTGATCGCGCCGAAGGCAAATTTTCTGATCTGAACTTAACCTCTAAGTATACCTGGCCTCACAGGAACATGGTTTAAATGCACCTTTAATTTGAAACATATTTTAAATGGAATGTTTAAGTCAATTGACAAGCATTTAGTCAGTTTGGGTCTCTAGGTTTCTCAGTGTGGAGACTGCACTGGAGAGCCAGACCATGAAGACCCTGGAATACGCAGCGCAGGGAAGCCCTCAGGGTGGCTGAAGAACAATTAAGACTTACATTGATGGCTGTGTGGAAAGCATGGGACTGAGCCAGACCCCCTGAATGTGAGGAGGCCTAGGTAATCTATGGGGCCTTGGGTAGTATTTATCCCTGGAATACAAATAGACTTTCAGCACCCGTCCCACAATGAGGGATGCTCTCTCAGCCTGGACTCTTGGGGAAGGGTCTAGGTCCTGCCCTGGATGAAATGACAGTCACTGGAGATCCACCATGGAGGGCCTCACCCTCCTTGGTGATCAGAGTGGAGTTGGGTGGGAGACTGGGGAGCCTGGTGGGGAGGACTCCTGGAGGGGAGCGAGAGGGAGCTGGGATTGACATGTGAAACAAGCTTGTTTCTAACTTAAGTTAAAAAATGGAAAAAAAAGTGGCACTTGAGGGCTGTCAAGGTGGCTCAGCTTGGAAAAACACCAGTGTCGCAAGACTGCCAATCCAGGCTCGAGCCCCAGACACCAGGTGAAAAAGCCTGATGCGGGAGTGCTCATCTGTAACCACAGAATGCCCACAGCGGCATTGTCCAGAAACTTGAAAGCCAGCTCGCTTGGAGTACACAACTCAGCAAAAACAGAGACCCTGCCTCAGAGACAAGGCAGGGGGAAAGATCCTGAGTCCCCCAAACTGCCTCCTGATCTCCACACACATACCACAGCAATACTATTTAATAAACTGTGAAAGGATTTGTTTTTTAAAGATGCATTTGGGGACCAAAGAAGGTGGAGCCTGGCAATGCAGTGCACTCCCTGGGAAGTGCGTGTTGGTACAGCACACTTGTCTAGCTGAGTCCAATTTCCCCACTGTTGTAATTTAAGAAAAGCAGTTCATGAGAATTTTTTCTTTTTAATTAGGAAAAGGGATCATAAAAAAAAGGGAAAGCGGAGGCGGGGGGAGACCAGCCTCTGGGAACAGGAGCAGCAGGAGAGATGAAAGAGGGGCAGAGAGAGTGGGGGGGAGCAGAAAGAGAGAGGGAGAAAAAGAATGAGAGAGAGGAGAGGAGGTGGGCAGGGCCCTTTTAAAGGGGAACACAGTGAGTGTGCACAGGAGGTGCTCTTAGTGGCTGCAGCTGAGGGCGTGCCCTGTCAGAACCCCAAGGGCAGGCCAGTACAGATGCCTGAATGCTAACTCCCATCCCTCCTCACCCCCCCCCCCCCAAAAACCCGCATTTGGGACTTTCAGATTAGAATGTACAGACTCCTAGTTGCATGACTTTGGGCAATTACTTGCTTCTCTGGGCCTCAGTTTCCCCTGCAAAAAATACTGGGGATAAATATAACATCTTTATCCGTGAGCCACAGAGATTCTGCTCTCCAGCCACAGTGATGACATAACCGCATTAGAGGTGAACCGTCGTGACCACACCAGGAAACCTGGTAACTAAGATGTATACAGTGGCTGGAGGGGTAGAAATGAGGATGGCAAATTAATACCCATCTCACGTGACTGCTTGATTCACACAGAGGACCCAGGATGGGGGCCGATAGGCTGTGAATGCTCAGTGTTGCAGCACTGAGTTTGCTTTGTATTTTTAACCTGACCTTACCCAGTGCCACACACGGTCTGCAGAGAGTCTAAGCATCCTCAAAGCCAATGTCAGCAAGAACAGTCACAGCATCCCTGAGCTTACAGAGAACAGCCCCTCACGTACTCAGTTTTCAGAGGCCCATGTTCCCAGGGCTGAGAGACCATGGGGATCTGAGCAGCCAAGCATGGTAAACTGAGGCTGCAAAGGAAAACCCCAGTGAGTGAGAGGGGCTGCCCTGCTTTCCCCTGATATTGCCAGGGTGACCCCTCTCGTCACAACACCACGGTGACGACTGTCTTGTCAGCGTTTCCACTAATGCAAAGGGGAAAACACAGACCTGGCTTTCATGGAAAGTGCTCTGACTCTCACACCCAGAATTCCTGCCTTTAAAAGGGGGTGGGGGAGACCTCTAACTTTTCCTTCAGCGTTTCAGAACCCAACTACTTGAAAAGCATCTTTTCTGAGGAATGGTATTTCCTGGCACAAACAGTCTTTGTCAAGTGACTCAGACTGATTATTTTTTTCAATATCAGTCGGCCTCAACTTACAGAGAAAAAGTGGGCACTGGGTATCAGTTTGATGTCAGGGTTTTTCCCGGTTTGGAGAGCTTTAAATACGGCTAGCCTGGAAGGTGCCAGTAGGTTGAGCTCCAGACTCCTGCAAAGATGTTTGTGGCCTTCATGCTTGTCTCTGCCCTGCTCTTTGGTTCTGTTGGTTCTGTGCTGGACTGGAAATGCAACACCAAGTTGGTGATCAGAGACACCAGTTTCCTCATTGAGAAGCTGAAGGTAGAATTACGGGGCTGGGGAGAGCTGGTAACTGTGTGAGTCCTCCTGGAGGAGGATGTGGAAGGGCACTGTACTCATTCCGGGTTATCATCTCTTTGCTCACTGTAGAATGACCCACCCTCGAAATGCAGCTGCAGCACCAATGTGAGTGGATGACTTCTTAAACCTCCCAAACCTGTCTTAACGCTCATAGCGGGAGTGTTCACGCCAAGGTTTCTCTCTTGCAGGTGACCAGTTGCTTGTGTCTTCCCATCCCATCTGTGAGTATGGCTGCAAAAGGTCCCTGGGACGTTGCTTAAGCTTTGAGGAGAAATAACACGATTCACTTGGCGTTCTAAAGTTTAAGTTATTGTCTAGGGGCAACTGTTAATTGTATAGACCCCACCTTTAAAGCTCATATATTTACATGTACGTTACATACGTAGCTATATGTTTAAGTTGGCTTTATGGTCTTTGAGATATTTGAATACGTTCCAGAGTCTAAAAATTATTAACTATCGTCTGAGATAAATGGCTGTGTACAAAACGAAAAACAAAAAGGAATTGCTTTCTGATCCATCTGCTGATGACTCCAGGTTTGTGAAACATAGCAGCATCGACAGGACATGGACAGCAGAGACGTCACACACCTCTCCTTTCTCCAGCCTCCCCCCTGCTCCTCCTCCCTGCCCCCACCTCTTCCTCTTCCTCCATCTCCCCGCTGGTTTTTAGTGGCTGTCAAGCAGTCCCAGGTGTTCTCTGGGAGGACAGTATCAAAGTTTGGTGCTGGGTACCAAATGGATGCCAAGGGAGCAACTGACATCCTGGCAGTCAGCGGAGCAGGAAGCCTCTGGTCCTGTTCTAACTCCTGGTGAGGGCGACAGAGCAGTCGCCGAGACCGGTGGCCCCTGAGGGGCTCACCCTGCAGGCTGGGCCTGGGAACAGACACTGAACTTGGACTCTGTGAAGATGCTCATCCTTCAGGGTCTGGTTAGGGGCAGGTCCAGCTTATTCCCTCCTTTCTCAGGGCAGAATTTTAGCTTGTCTGAAGCCTGAGCCCTGTCCAGTGGCTCCGCGTCTCAGCCGGGTGAGAGAGGCTTTTCCTTTTCTGCACTTTCAAACTGGCAGCCACTGGACCTGGACAGGGCCACCAGATAGATAGATGCATTGCCTCCGCCAGGGTACTAGCCCACATTTCCTGGATAGAATCTCCTCTGGGGTTGTTGCTGGGAAAATGACTCACCTCAGATAACTTAAGGTCTTTTCCTAGAGCATCAAGAGACAGGCGCTAAAATAGCATGCGTTTGGGTGACTCTGGGTAACTTAAGTTTGCTCTTTAAAATTCTGCTGGTGGTTACTTCTCAAAGCTGTTCTTAGACAGTTCTCATGAACACTTTTCATAAGTCCCTATTATTTGCCAGGACGATTGTACCACACCATGCTTCCAGGAAGGGCTGTCACAGCTGACCAACACCACACAGAACGCAGAAATCTCAGTTGTTTTCCAACGGGTGAAAAAGACAGTTGATAGCCTAAAGATCAGCAAGTGTCCGGTGAGTCCTGTGTCCGCGTGTGACAACTGATCTCTGAGTGAATGCTGACACCGAATGCTTCAGGTCGGAGCTTAGCTGAGAAACTTGGGAGCAAGCGCCATCTGCTCATCTCTGAGCAGATGACAAAGGACGGTAGTTGGAGTCAGCAGCCCCAGGCTGGTAGGGGCCGGCAAGGAATTTAACCAAAGATCCCTGAACTGGGATCTCCTCTGGAGTGCGTGGTTTCCCTGCTTAAGTGGAAACCACTGCCACCCACGCAGCCAATGTCTTCTCTCTGCTTGTTGGATAACGGAAGAATTCGCCCTGTTGTATCAAAGGCTGTACCCTAGAGAGTCAGACAACACAAGGCCACCTAAGAACTGAGTATACTAACCAGGGATGGGGTAGCCTCTAAGTCAGGGGGTTTTGTTTGTCTGCTGGACGGGCTGAAAGGTTTGTAAAACAACAAAAACAAAGTGAGTAGGTAGTTATTTGCCACTGTCATCGTGTGCCCTGGTTCCCGGGCACCAGCAATCCTAAGTGCTGTGGTTGGCCAGGCTAGTCTCATATCGACGTCCACAGTGGCATCTGCCCTAGCTGGGTCACGTGTGCTGCCAGGCTTAGCCACCTGCCTTAGGGACCAGTTTCAGCGCTGTCACCCCTGCTAAGAGAGGACAGTGATACCCAGGAGAAGTTATTTTCTGATGCGAATGTATTTAATAAGAGACAAAGGTGGGACTTAAACTCTGGTCTATGTGAATCCAAAGTCTCACTCAGAACTACTGTGTTGTAAAGAGACCTTGAGTGGGCAGGAGGGAAAAAAAGGTAACAAGTGTACAGATGTTTAGTCCCCAGGGAATCCCAAGAATAGAGTTTCCCTAATGACATTTAGGGGAGTGTGTGTGTGTGTGTGTGTGTGTGTGTGTGTGTGTGTGTGTGTGCAGACTCCTGGAATCCTGACCCCAGATTAACCTCTACACAGTCTTACCAAACACTAGCTAACCCAGGATCACCCTCTTATTTTCCCCACGCCTCACTCCTCTCTCCCCTGCCCATCAACCTGTCCCCAAGGCTCGGGGGACGATGGTCCCGGGGCTGCTAGGTGAACACTGCTGCGGAGGCTCACTCTATCTTACCTCTCCACAGCTTTTCTCCTGTGAGAAGCCATGCAACCAGACCACAGCAGGCAACACGTTGTCCTTCCTGAAGAGCCTCCAGGAGACGTTCCAGAAGGCAGGGGTGAAAGCGCCAAAACAGCGAGCATGAAGATGAATATTATTTATTCTATTTATTAAATTTATGAATCCCTTCCTCTTTAACTGTTACAACGAAGAAATAAACTCAGTTATCCTAGGTAAAACTAGTTGTGCTCTTTGTTCCACGGGGAGGAGAAATGCAAGCCGTCTCCAGGCGCCTTCTTATCGCCTATTCATTCCTGCTGATCAAACCTAACAAAGCTTCGAGCTTTGTCATAGGTGGGATGGGTCAGAGACTTGGTAATAAGCACATTCATGTAGCCGAGCAGCCACGTGGGGACAGTCTGAAAGGTGACCACAGCAGAGGCTACGAGCAGCCCGATGGAGGCACAGGGCACTACCAAATCACCAAGGGGTTTCGTTCCTGTGAAACAAACTGTGGACCCAAAGTGGGAAGGACCACCGTCTGGTGAGTCCAAGGGCTCAGAGACTCCTTGGGGACGTGAGTGCTGGAAATACGTATCGGTGGTTAGGAGGACTTGCCGCTCATCCAGGGGAAGAGTTCAGTTCCCAGCTCAGGGGAAGAGTTCAGTTCCCAGCCCAGGTCAGGAGGCTCACAACCATCTGTAACCCTAGCTCCAGGGGATCTGGTGCCTCTGCCCTCCAAGGGCACCTCCGTTCATGCGCACATGCCCGCAGGCTTGAGTGAGTGCGTGCACATGGGTACACAGGTGCGCACAACACACCTACATAAAACTTTTAAAAATAAAAACAAACGTGGGCATGGCTTATATAAGAGTGCAAAGGGCTGGCAAGTGGGGTCTGGAGATGAGCCACGGAGTAGCGCCTTCAGGTTAGAGCTTGAAGCAAGGAAGTGTGGATCAACATGGTCTGTTTACCCAAAGCTGTTCAGGGGGCACCCACCATGTGCCAGCCAACAATGCCTAGTGGGCAATTCCCCAGAAATTCTCAAACCACACTGCGTGGCTGGCAGAGTGTGGATGTGGCCGTTCCCCTTACCCTAACACTCTATATGTCCCACTCCCGTGCCCACGCTGGCCTCTGTCCCACGATGCTCACAGCCTTCACGATGCCTGCCTCCCCGGGTCACATGCCAGCTCTCCAGGGACCCAGTGTGTCCACTCCTGTACTAGCACTGAGCTGTCATGGAGCAGGTGCCCTGTGAATATGGTCTGAATGGATGATGGGTGTCCTGATGCCAGGGCACAATTGGAACAGACTCAGGACCATGCATTCCTGGTGGACGGATTGGAGCCGGAAAATCGTGTGGCGTCTTTGCAAAGCCCCTAGGCAGGTCACTGGTCAGTTTACACTACCTGCCTACCTAGAATAGAAAAAACGTCAGGCCTTCTATTTGGCCCCTTTAGCCTTGACTGATGGACTGGCAGACACAGGGTCAAGGACAAGGTGAGAGCTTTTGGCAGAGAGAACGGCCCTCTCCTCCTCCACCTGCTGACACAGGGGTATGTGGGAAACCCTGGGTTCGGCCTTCATGTGTGGAGCTTCCAGAACTAAGTTCCTGCCTCTACACGGTTGGATTGAATAGGGAGTGTGTCTGAGTATGTGTGTCATGCCTGACTGTCTAGCCTGTGGGTCCCCCAAAACAGGGTACCCTTCCCCAGGCCTCCTAAACTTACCACTCAAAGTGTGATACACAGGAAATCCCGAGGGAGTCTGGTAAGCCACACGCTTACAACAATCATTAGTGTTGAGTACTTAGCATTAGGCATTGTTTCTGATTGGACTGGGAGGAGCAGCCTTGTTTAGTCACCCAGGATTGGTAGGATTTTTTTATTTCTAGTATCTCTTCTTTTATAAGCATGGGCATCAAAGCTTTCTAGGTTGGAGATGTTCCCGAGATCCCCCAGCTGGTGAAGATTAGAGCAGAGAGCCATGACCAGCTGACTGCTTGCCAACCGTCACCCTGCCTGCCCCGTTCTGATCTCCTGTCCATCTAAGATTTCCATGCCGTGTCCTCTGACCACATCCTGAGGGTCAAATGGGCCACCACAGCCCCAGAGAACCCGCTTATGCAGAAAGCAAGGGTCAGGCAGGGTTCAAATGTCAAGCTTTTTAGCCCTTTCAAAAGTTAATGCATAATCCATGTGCCCGTGTTACATAACACCCCATAGCAGGGCCTGGAGCAAAATTCTGTGATTAAATGCATCAATATTCTGCAGTGGAAACCAAAAACATTCACACAGAGTGGTCAAGGTTTACAGCCAAATGAGTCACAACAACCTTGAGTCGGCTGAGCTGTTTGGGTTTCGGGATGGTGATAAGGGATTGGGGACCTGTGTGAACAAAGGAGCTTTGCCCCAGATGGGGACTCGCTTACACTCTACCTGGCTCTGGGTCATCTCCAGGCGGAACGGAGGCTTCTGCAACCCCCTGGCTGACTGGCTAGCTACATGGCAACCCTGGTGTCTTCTCCTGCCTGGGTTTTCTGAGTCACACTTCCCTCTGTGGTTTGCAGTCTGCACTCAGTGGGATCACCAGCCCTGCAGTCTGCACTGGCCTCAGCGGGATCACAGGCAGGGGAGGATGCTGGTGGTTGGGAAGGTCTCAGAAAACAACCTAGCAACACAAACTACTGCTAGAGAGGAACTGAGCGATTTCAGGTGAAGCTCGTTGCCACATCAAAACCACCTCCCAGCGTGGTGCTTTCCCTTGGCTTGTCTGTACAGTTGTGTAAGAGAAGACTCACTCCTGCAGGCAGACTCCAAGAAGGGCCCCCCTGGAGTGAGAAGGGCTGAACTGGGGGAGCTGAACTCTATTGAGAAGCACCTTGGAGAAAGGGGAAGAAACCGAGTGTCTTGCTATGTGATCTGTACCACAGCGAGCTGGATCCACACGTTGATGCCATGGTAGTCACTAAAAGTTGTATATGATCACTCCCCTTGTGCAAAAGAGAGCAGCCCAGAAGCACATTGTTCAAGAGGATGCGACTGCTACCCTTCGCAGGTGGCTAAGTCGCAGGCAGATTTGTTCCAGGGACCCAGAGGATAAAACAGAGATCGTCTGGAGAATCCTTCTCCCTGCATCCCAACCCCAGAACCCCAAGTCTCCTCTGGGGAAGAAGGGGACTGAATATTTATGTCACTTGTAATTCCTACATGCTTTCCCAGCTACTGGGAAGAACGGAGGCTGGGGTTTGGGTGACAGGTTGCCCCTGCACCCTGCACACCCGGGCACGCGGTTTGACGACTGCACAACCATAATGAGCATGCAGGTGCCAGCGGGCACGACAGTGAGTGCTGTCCAGCTGCGAAGTACTGAGGCAGGGGGATAGAATGATGGCTCTTAGAACTTGGAGAACCAAACCCAGTTTGGCCCCGCTCTGTGCTCAGGGGGAAATGAGTCTAGTGGGCTCTCTCTATGCTCAGCCAGAGGCCAGAAGCCATACTTCTTTGGACGTCTGGCTCCCTGGATTACACTGCTGGATCACATGCTTCTGGAATCTTGACATCAGCTTAGCAGGGAGGATTATGGGAGTTAGAGCCTGAACCAATAGCCCGACATGTATCCTGAGCATGTAAGGACTTGCTCAGAACTTGCATCTACCCTGCTCCAAAGCACAAAGGAGCAGCTGTGGCTCTCGGGGTTTCACACAGACCAGACTCGGGGAGCATAGATGCTGCAGCCATCCTTTGTCAACTTCCAGGCAGAAGCAAAACCGCCCAGATTGGGAGAGGAAGGCAGACAGAAACAAAAACAAAACGGAAAAAGTACAGCGCCCCCACCCCAGCACCACCACTGTCTTCTAACCTCTACACAGGACACATTGCAGCTCCCAAACCCACATCTGCCCTTAGCACTTACTGAAGACTCGGACGGCAGGTGGGTATCCGCAGGTGAGGAGGAGTGAGGCCCAAACAGGCGGAATTTGTTGAGACTATTCAGATAGACACTGAGCCTGGAATCCAAGGAAAGGATGGGACGCAGAGGCTTGGAGAACTGAGAGACAGAAGTGTCAAGGACCCCAGGCTCTGTTACACCTAGGTCACCATTTAGCAGACGCCTCTGGGGGTTTAGTTGACCTCTGCTGCCACCAAGTGGCGACTCAGTGGTATATCAGCCAAAGAGGCTTTTGAGGGACAGTGTTTCTTGTTGGGGGAGGGGAACGCCTGCCCTCAAAGTGACCCCACGAGACCAAAATTGTCTTGGGATACCTTCCTTTCCACTCTCGTTTTCTCATGTGTACGTTGGGTCTTCCAAAGGCTGCTCAGCAAGTGAGGTCACTGCTAAGCAGAAGGGGCCTCCAGCTGCCCCCTAGTCATTCACTGCAGAGGAGTAAACTTAGCCTAATCGGGAGCACACGGTGGAGACCCCGCCTAGCCTCTGAACAGACCACCAACCCCAATCCGACTGCGCACCTGTTGTGACTTTAAAAGCAGCATGAGAAAGATGCCATGTGAGTGACAGAACTCACGTGGAGGGTTTTTTTTTCAATTAGGGGCAAAGGAGGGAGGTGGGATGGGGGGGGAGACCAGCCCTCTGGGGACAGGAGCAGTGGAAGAGAAATAGGAGACAGAGAGAAGAGATGGGGAGAAAGAGAGACGGGTGATGGGGGAAGTCCTGTGTATATGTCAATAAAGCACTGTTGGCCAATAGGGAAGCCAGATAGGTGGGACTAGGAGTCGAGGAGGACTCTGGGAAGGAGAAACACAGGGAGTCAAGATGTAACTGCCATAGGGATAAGAAGCCCGGAATGTTCTCTGGTAAGAAAAATACTTAGATTAACAATTATGGGATAAGTACTTAAGTCAGAGCTAGCCAGTAAGAAACAAGCAAGGCCAACAACTTCATAACTAATATAGCCTCCTGTGTGTTTATTTGGGACTGATGCGGCTCTGGAACCAGGCTGGCGGGAAGGCTTTCCCTTTACAGACAGGCAGAGCGGTAGAGGTGGGGGAGGCGGGCAGGGCCCTTTTTAAAGGGAGCATAGTGACCAGGCACAGGTGGTGCTCTCGGTGGCTGCAGCTGAGGGCGGATCCTGCCAGAACCCCAATGACAGGCCGGTACAGATGCCTGAACACTAACAACACCTACTTGACACACCCTAGGATGTGATAGAGGAGGTACCCTGGGTCTACCCCAGCATCATCTCACTAATGCCAGGAGCATCTCCTCCCCCCCAGCATCCCCAGGGCCTGCCAGTGTTGCTGAGGAAGGGAGGAGTCCAGCCTCTTTCCACCAAAGTGTCTGACAAACTAGCATGAAGGTACCCCAGGCTCTTCCATCCCCAAGCCTTGAGACAGCGCCTGCACAAGGTATGATGATTAAGTGACAGAGGCCCCATAGCCGTGGGCTCAGAGCTGCCCAGGGGGATTTTTGCAGCCCCAGGAGCTGTGGAGGATGGAGGTGGAGGAGAGCACTGTGAGGGAAGGAGTGCCTGTGAGCTACACTGGGAAGAATGACCAGTCGGCCCCTAGGGGGCAGCAGCGATTTGGTGCTGACTGTCAGATCTGAGCTTTCGGGAATTTGGCTCAATCACAAATAGGTAGGAGGGGGTGGGGCATAATAGAAGCCAGGGAAGGCTCTTAAAGGCTTGCTTTTGACATGAGTGTGAGGACAGGTTCCCTCGCGGGGGTTTAAGGTCACCTTGCATGACATTTCTGCTTGGCTGATGTTGGCTGCCCAAGGGACAGTGTGGGGCAATTCTGAAGCCACGTTCAGCAGTGCACTGGGATGTGGTGGGGTAGGGTGTGGCTGCTGCGGGTACCGCATTGGAAGCCACACCATGGACCCATGCCACATAACAGCAGTGCAATCTCCCACGTGGTTCCAACGGGAGACAAAGCAGAGGCCTAAAACCACACTGGAAGGCAGCGTGTAGGCGACACGTGCATTTTATTACGGTTTTTAAATGAGGGTTTCCACATAAAAGTCAGGTCCGGAGAGCACCCACCTCCTTGCAAGTCTGGACTGCCATCTGCCATTCGTGACACCAACACATGCTACAGCTCAGGCTTTGGATTTCTCTCTCCTACACGATCCTGTCTAGTCCCTGTGCCCTCCCTGCACACCTCAAACCCAGGAGAAAATGACACTGCCCATCCCCCTTAGTTCCGCTACAGACCTAAACTGAGCACAGGTGGGGTGGGGTGGGGGTGAGCAAGGCCCCTCAGAAGCCAGGCAGAGGCATGAGACACAGAAACAGCCCAAAGGGCATTCGGTGCCAACCCGAGCTTCTCTGCAGGTCTCAGTTGAGTTTTCAGCATCCGGGGTACACAGGGTTTTGCCCCAGTTTCTCATAGGTTCTGATCCAGAGCCCAAAGAGATGGTATGGCTGCTTGGTCCATGGTCTGCTCCTTCCTTCCAGCACCCTGGGCTGGGGAGACCAACAGAGAGCCTGCAATCACGAAGGAAGTGACTCTGAACTCAGTGTGATAGCTGTGGCCCGCCTGGCACGGAACCAGGATGGCTGGGGCTTCCTTGGTTCCAATGGCTCGTAGTTGCTGGTTCTACAGGTATCGTCAGCAGCACCAACCCGTTGTGGAGCGAGGCCCGGTCGGCCCCGGGAAGAGAAGGATGTAAAGAATCCTCTTTCGAGTTGTGGCCAGCAGGATCCAGGCTCAGCCAACCCACATGGAGACGGTTCACGTCCCACAGAGATGGGGTAGTGACCGCCAACACACTGCGCAGTCAGGACAGCTGTCTGGGATTCTTTATAAGTGTCGAAACGAGGCGCCACGGGAAGGATACATCCTTCTTTGCGTGTGAGGCTCCTCGTAAATGGAAAGTAGGCTTCCCGGGTCTGGAGCACACACATCAGGGCAGACATAGAACGGCACTATTCTAGGAGGGCTCTGGTACCAGGACCCCAGAAGGGGAGGGAAGGATGACACAGAAGGACTCGGGAACAAGCCTAAGAATTGGCTGCTTACCAGTGACTAGGACCCTCTTTCTCAATTGTCCCTATGGCAAAATAACTACCTCACAGAGTTCCCGCTGAGCTCCTCGACTCTGCAGGGAGTGGCCTGGAAGGAAACAGAACCAGGGATGGATGGGGAGCAAGGTGTTGTCCCCCAAGACTGGGTAGCTGTGTCCTCCATCCCACTCGTGTATTTGGAAACAGTTTCCACTGAGCCTTGTGCCTGGGTCTCTGGAGATGGTCACTGCCAGGACCGTCTGAGATGCACCCTCTCTTCCATGCTGGGTCTCGATGAGGAGGGAGGCACTGTTCTGCATGTCTTCAACGAGTTCATGCTTCTGCTGCACAAGATCGTGGACCGCCCCAAACCTTTGTTAAGCTAAAGCCCAGGCTTGCTAGACAATAGAGAGGACCTGGTGTTCGTGGCTCTGTTTTGAGCAGGATGTTAAACATGGGTGAGACAAAGTTGCTAGGGTCACCCGCTCTCATTGAAGGGGACCTGCTCTTCCCACTCCCCAACCCCTGCCACCCTCGGTGGCTTTTCTCCTACCGAGATGGGAGAGGACATTCAGAATTAAAAGCTTCCAGCTGGCTTGGCTGCTGCTCTCAAATGCCAAATCTAGGGCAGTCAGTCCTGACTTGGCTCTCCAGAAGCTTCCTCCAGCCTCCTTAAAGAGCCAATCTTCAGGGTGGCAAAGAGGGGCATTGTGTGGCAACTGGGGCATGTGCCCAGCCACTCAGATCTGAGGTCTTGGTACTGAAGCCATCTTGTAGTTAGATCCAGCCATGCGTGACGTGTCTGGTCACTAGGAGGAAGGGAGGGGAGGGGGCACCGTGCAAATTGGCTCTGGGTTTGAGACCTTATGGTGACTGCTGGAATTCTTACTGTGTTCTTCCTGTAGTTTCTACATTTTCCTACAATATAAAAATACAGTAATTTTGTTACAGGACTTTAAATTTTTATTTCCCTGTTAACAGGGATGGGTTTGGGGGTGGCGCTGATGTCTGAGCACAGCTTTAGGAAGGACACAACATCCGTGCCCTGCCCTGCCTCATCCTGGACATCACCCATGTCCGGGATGCTTCACCAAGAGCTCTTACTATGCAAGTGTGTTGCTGCCCTTTTCATTTTGTATAAAAAAACGGGCAGCAAGCCGGAGGAGTTGTGAATGTCAGAATTCCAGTAAAAGGCCTCAATGGTTTGTTTAAGGCCAGCTTCAGGGTTCGCTGTGGTCAGCCTGCCTGTCGGCTGCCTCCATCTAGGACCTGCTATGCTGTCTGCATTCCAGAAGCCTCTGTAGTGGAGGGTTGAAGGGCAATAGCCAGGCTCCTAGGCTTCCCTGATGGTGGCCATCCTCCTTGGGAGAATTGGCAGCCATAGAGGCAGAAGCTCACGACAGTTCCATGAGGAAGAATGGAGCCCCAGCTTCACTAACCCCTGGCTAGGAGAAACCCACACTCGCCTGACGCTCATGGGCTTGTCACGGTGTGGTCGCCGCGGAGTGCCTTCAGGGAGAGCTCGTAACCCAGGAACATGGCGGCGCTGGTGGGGAAGCCACGCACAGCGTTCACAGTGAGGCCCCTGAAAAACACCTTTGTGCAGGGAGGTAGTTATGACAGGGCCAACCCTCTGCAGTGCCAGCCCACACACGCAGCAACACTGCTTCTGAGGGTGAGAGACATGACTGTAGACGCAGCGTGGCCCAGCCCCAGCCTGTCCCAACCCCGGATAGCTGTGGTAGCACACGTTTTCATGGGCTCCACTGTGCGCTCACTGGGGGCTTCAGCAAGCTGAGAGCCAAGCAGTTCTGTGCTTGGCACAGTTGTATGTACCCGTGTTTGCCCTCTCTGTGTCTTCCCCCAACCCCCCATTCTATGCTGGTACAGAGTCGTATGTACCCGTGTTTGCCCTCTCTGTGTCTTCCCCCCACCCCCCATTCTATGCTGGTACAGAGTCGTATGTACCCGTGTTTGCCCTCTCTGTGTCTTCCCCCCCCCCCATTCTATGCTGGTACAGAGTCGTATGTACCCGTGTTTGCCCTCTCTGTGTCTTCCCCCACCCCCATTCTATGCTGGTACAGAGTCGTATGCACCCGTGTTTGCCCTCTCTGTGTCTTCCCCCACCCCCATTCTATGCTGGTACAGAGTCGTATGTACCCGTGTTTGCCCTCTCTGTGTCTTCCCCCCACCCCCCATTCTATGCTGGTACAGAGTCGTATGCACCCGTGTTTGCTCTCTGTCTCTTTCCGCCCCTCCCCCACCCCAGGGTTCTGGAATCTGTATATAAAATGCTCCGCCCCACTCAGGACTAGTGACGGGCGCTTCCTACAACATTCCCAAAGTGGCAGACAATATGGGCAGGACAATGCTTAGAATCACGGGCATGGGTAGGGTCACGGCACGGGTGGGTGACAACATCTCTAATCAGAGTGTTGATGTTGGGCTGCTAAAGGGTGTTCTAGGGAATAACCCAGCCCATGAATGCTTCTTAAAGCTTTTCACAGGGCCCATCGAACCACTGGGCACCAGTGACGACTGACTGCCACCGTCACCTGTGGAGGCTGAGGTGGTACGGTCTGAGTGGAGAAGCAGCTAGCAGACTCTGCCTCTGTTGTGACCGGTCCCCTGAGCTTTGCCTTCTGTCTCTGGGCGTGGCTCTCGTGAGCTCCTTACTCCCCTCGCCTTCCTGCTTGCTGCCGGTGGGCAGCCTGGAGCCTCTTGGATGACATAAGCACATTCTAGAGCAATGGCAATGTTACCAGGCAATGATGGGGACTGAAAAGGGTCTAGGGATGATGTAGGGAGCTGAGCTGCCCCTGAAGGCCTTCTCTGGAAACTGCACACAATCAAAAGGTAAACCTTCCGCCAAGCATGACCTGAGAGCCGTCAGGTATGCAAGCTGTCTCTCACACAGAATCACCTCAAAGTTTAAGACAGAGTGGGTCGTTTTCAGAAAGAGGCAGCCAGCCTGTGCGTGTGCCCAGTTTCAGGGGACACTGCCAGCCATAGGATGAAGCTTAGTGTAGGAGAAGCTGACAACAAATGCTGGAGCCTCTCAGGCAGACCCGCATGGGGGCAGGGTAATATTAACACTCCTCTCTAATGCCTAACCGAATTGGAGCTCCTCAGGCTCACCCAGAGTGACTGCGTAATAGCCAGGAACCGGGTCTAGATCCAAAGGGAAAATTCCATGCTGGCTTCCCAGACTCCCTGTAACCTCGGCTTGACTCTGCTCCAAGGCCTCCTGCCCCATAAAACAACATTCAGGATGTTTGGGCCAAGACCTTTCTCATGGAGCCTCCATGGCTCCCTACTACGTGGGATGCATCTGCATGGATGCCTCACTGGCCTGTGATGACCCCTCTGCCCCAGCCTTTTGTTCTTTCTGACTGACAGTCTCATCTGTCTCCCTGGGCCACCTCTGGTCCCCTCCATTTCGAATGCTCTTCATATGTGCTTGTAGCCTCTGTCCATCCAATCAGGGCCACCCCAGAGTGGCTTCCTAATCACACCGTGTCCTCACTGTTCTTCATGGTCCATGACTCATTTGTCCCTTACAGGGCAGGGAGCAGAGTCTATGAGCATAGTGCCCCCTCCCCCACTGGGTGCTTGGTCCTGAGCAGACCTTCTTTAACTGTTTCTCAAATGAGTCCTTGAAGGATGAGCAAGTGAATGACGAAAGTATAGCCTGTGCTGAGGGAGTTCTGGTTGTCGTAGCTGTCGGGGTTCGAGTAGGGTGAGGACTTCAGACCCCTAAAACGCAGGGCCATCAGACAATTGACCCCAGGCCCTCAGGAAGCCTGAGTGCCACAAACACGCCTCACCAGCCCCGAGCCAGCCTTACTGAACCAATAGGAATCCAGGGCTCAACTCTGGCTCCTCACTTCAGGGGATAAACCCCCTTTCGGAAGCCACAGAGCATGCGGCCCAAAACAACCCTCAGACAAGGATCAAAGCACTGGTACTGCTCCGGTTCTAGTTTGGTGACACAGGCAGGATGTTCCAGAAGCTATTCTTTAGCAAGCAGAACCTACATCATGGGTGCTGTAGTTACTGTTGCTCTAAGATAAAGGGACTCTTCCCACCTGGTGGTTGCGAAGTTCGAGGCAGCCCGTGGGGTATTGCTTGTGCGCACTACTGTTATAACAACATGAAATGCCCGTATGTGTGAGCACACACAGACATCCACTTGCTCGCATGTTTGCAAGTACACCGTGTATTTGGGGGAATAAATCACAAGAAACTCAAACTGGTGGCTGCTTTTGATGATAGGGTGACAGGTGGGACACTAGACATGTGTCCCTGTGTTTGGGAGCTCTCTGCTTTCACGCAGCACTGACCTTTCATCAACTAGTACAGGATTTAAAGATTAGCCTGAATCTCGGGCTGGTGAAGCGGTTCGTCAACTGGGCATTGTACAGCGTTTAATGAAGCCTGATTCTTGGCACCAGTGACAGCAAATAAAACTCATCTCTGAGTAAGAACTGCACAGGGGACAATGCTAAGACCGAGAGCAACTGCCCAGTCTTGACGGGCCTGAGGGCTTGGTTCACATGAAGCATGGTGACGGGGTGTATACGGGGGTGTGGCATGGGGGTTTTGCCTCTACAGATTTTCTTTAATTATGACACAATTAATTTCTTTTGGGGGTAGACAAACACTCTCAAATAAAATGATAGCACCCCGAATGAATCTCTTTGGGTCCTGTAACTGCTGATGGAACCACAAGCTATCTGTCTTCTGAGAAAACAAAGCGGGGCGTGGTGGTGTACATCTTTAATCCCAGCACTGTAATGCCAGAGGCAGGTAGACGTCTGTGAGTTCCCGGCCAGCCTGGTCTACAAAGCCACAGGGCAGGGAGCCTCGGTTTGTTCCGCTGTAGCCTCAGGACTAGGCAGGGATCGGGGAGGTTATGGTGAGCAAGATAGCTACGGGCTGACAGTCAGAAAGGCACGGGTAACAGGAGGCTCAGCTCAAGCAGGCAAGCGCACACGCCTCTGACAGTCAGAAGGGCACGGGTAACAGGAGGCTCAGCTCAAGCAGGCAAGCGCACACGCCTCTGACAGTCAGAAGGGCACAGGTAACAGGAGGCTCAGCTCAAGCAGGCAAGCGCACACGCCTCTGATGGCAGGAAACGGATCTTCACTGCTGACCAGGGCGCTTAGCAGTCCCAAAGCTCATGTCAGTGCAGGGCTCCACCTCCCGAGGCGGCTGCCTGCTTTAGAAGCGCCTCCTGACCCACCTCAGTGTCCTTCCAGCAGGTGATCAGTACCCAGGAGGCACTGGGACCCCAAAGACAGGGCCTCCACCTGCTAGGTCTCAGTGCTGTGTTTGCTTCCCGTGCTGCCAACACACAAAGACTGGATTTCCTAGCTAGATGATAGCCACTCCAAGGGTTACAGTCTTGGAGTTCTAGACAAGCTGCCCAGTCCATGGACTGCAGAGTTAAGTATGGCCAGCAGAGGCCCCTGGCTTACAAATAAACGAATTAATTAAAGAAAGAAAGAATAGCAAAATGAACACAGAGCTGGTGGACAAGGGACACTTGTCCAACATAGACTAAGCAACCATATAAACCACAGGCAAGACAAGAGGTCACAAGTTCACCAGTTGGTGGTGGTGGTGGTGCACACCTTTAATCCCAGCACTCAGGGGGTAGAGAAAGGCAGATCTCTGTGAGTTCAAAGCCAGCCTGGCCTACAAACTGAGTTCCAGAACAGCCAGGGCTGTCACACAGAGAAATTCTGTCTGGAAAACAAAACAAGAGGTCACAAGTTCAGCTGGCCCTCACTCCCGTGCACAGGACTGTGATTTCCAGTGTGTGAAGGTCACTGACGCAGCACCACAGACGACACATGCAGCAAGCAGTACTGCACACAGAGGAGCATGAGAGACAGTCTCCATGGTGACTACATCGGAAAGAATAAATGACATGAAAGGAATGGAAGAGGAAGGGGATCTGGAAAAGAACGCATCATGTCCAACCTCCATTGCTAAAAGGGGGGGCAGACAGTAACCCAACTAATCAGAAAAACAGCAATGAAAGCAACAGGAGTTAGTAAACGCCTCTCAATATCATCCTTAAATGTATGTGCCATCAACACGTGAATAGACAGATTCAGATCAGCTGACTAGATTAAAAGATTAGCCCAGCTGTCTGATGTCTGCAAGAAACACACCCCACTGGCACACACACCCAGGGATTAACGGTGGAAGACAACCTGTCAAGAGAATGGAAGATGAAAACAAGCAGGCATAGCTATTCTGACATCTGATAAAGCAGACTTCAAACCAGAATCGGAAGAGATAAGGAGGTCACTGCATATAAAGAAAGCTCATCAAGAAGACAGTAATTGTAAATATATATGTACCAGATGGGAGACACCCAATCTCTAAAAGAAATTCTAAGGTCATTAAAGGTCTTACAGACCCTGTGTGATTTAAGTATCCCATCTAAAGATGGACCATCAACCTAAAAGGAAGCAAACAAAAACCCCTCAGCCTTAAATTACATGAGAGATTAAATGGACTAACAGATACCAATGAAAAGTCCACCCAACAGATACAGAATATATATTCTTCTAAACAGCCCAAGGAACCTGGTCTAAAATAGGCCACATTCTAGGACACAAATTAAATCTTGGCAATTACAAAAACATAAAAAAACTTGTTTCTTATCAAATATTAGTGGAATAAAAGTAAAATTCAATAACTAAAGTGTAGAAACTGAAGATGTGTGGAGATCAAACGATACACTCATCACTCATTCCTAAATGTTCATGGAAGAGATCAGAGAGACACTGAAAAGTTCCTAGACTCTGATGAGAGTGAGAACACCTGTATGAATGCTTATATCAGCCCAGAGTGCGCATCAGGAAACAGCCCAATGGTGCATCCAAAGTCTTAGAAAAACAAGAATCAGTCAAACCCCAAGAAGTGGGTGGTAAAAAAAAAAATCATAAAGAAACGTACATAGAGTCAATCAAAGAGTTGGTTCTCTGAAAAAAAAATAAGCAAGATTGACAACCACTGGCCAAACTAACAGAGAGAGAGAGAGAGAGAGAGAGAGAGAGAGAGAGAGAGAGAGAGAGGCATTAAAAATTAGAGATGAAAAGGCTGAGATTACCGCAGACTCCAGTGACATCCAAGCATTCACTGGGGAATACTAGACTATCCATGCTCCAAAGGACTGGAAAATCTGGGGGAAATGGGTAAAGTCCTAGACACAGATGATCTACTAAATTAGTGCAAAAGGATGCAAACAATTTAAAATATACAGAAAAAATATCAGTGATAAAGCTGTACCAAAGTCTCTGTCAAAAAGCCCAGACCTGGGTGGAGTCACCACTGAGTTAAATTAAGTATTTGAAGAAGAGCTGGAACCAATTCTCCAGAAATTTCCGCAAGATAGAAAAGACAGAAACACTACTACCTCATTCCACAAAATCAGCATGAGCCCAACACCAGCAGTGGAAAAAGACAACACGAGGGAAATTATAGGCCAGCTTCCCCAGTAACACAGACACAAAAATTCTCAATTAAGCCCCACAGGCCTAATTAAAGAACACAATGGGAAGCTCATACACCATGACCAGGTTGGTTTCATTCCAAGGGTAGCAGCATGACTACACATATGCAAATTAATGTAAAGAGACAGAAGTCACATGACCATCTCAACAGACCAGGAAAGGTCTTTGACAACTCTTAACACCTTCATGATAACAACTAAGAAAAGAAGGAACCCACATCAGGATGCCAAGAGCTGCATGACAAACCTACAGCCAAAGTCATACTACTTGGGGTAAACTGGAAACTTCTCTGAGATCTAACATGAGACAAGGGTGTCCACCCTCCCCTGTTCAATGTGGGCTTGAAATGTGAGCTGGGGAAACATGATAAGAGAGGAAATAAAAGGAAGTCAAGCAGAAAAGAAAGAATTCAAGCCACCCCTCTTTGCAGACAGCACAGTCTTTTTCTTAAAAGCCTAAGGACTTCAAAACCCTCAGATTTGATCAGCAAAATAGCTGGGTACAGAATCAATATGCAAAATTTCGTAATTTTCCATTCACCAATAACCAACTTGCTGAGAAAGAAATCAAGAGGTGAAAAAAAAAGTCCCATTCACACTGCTTCAAGGCTGGCAAGCCAGGCGCATGCCTTTAGTCCCAGAACTTTAGTCCCAGGAAGGAAGAGGCAGGAGAATCTCTGTGAGTTCAAGGCCAGCCTGGTCTACAGAGCTACACCGAGAAACCCTGTCTCAAAAAATAAAAGAAAGGAAGGAAGGAAGGCTGGCAACCTCCAGTCCCCAGCCTCACCCTCACCACAACACGCCTGAGCCCTCCGACCCGGGGATGGGGGGGGGGCTGTATCGGTGTGCCGCTCACCCTCAAGCCTTCTTGCCGGTAACTCTGGGAGATGCAGTCCAGGACTCCATTGTATTTGTTTACGTAGACGCCATCAGCCTGGAGTCGACTTTTCACAACATCCATTGGAGTTGCTGTCCCCCAGGAAATTGCCCCTGCAAACTCAGAGGAAACAAGCATGTCAGAGCTGGCTGTCTTGGGTCTTCAAGGATGCTGGCCTTCAGAACCCTGGTAGGTAAGTGGCGGTGGCGGGGACATGGGCTGGGAACGGGACTACAGGACCCAGCCTCCTGCACCTGCTCTGTGGACTGGGCAGAAGCCCTGTGTCTATGAGGAGGTTGTGAGGGCGCGGTGAACTGATGCCTGTGGGAGCCTGGAGGGTGAGAGCAGGCCACAGAGAGGCTCCACACACGGCAACGTTTATCAGTGGGACAGAGACTGCTTCACAGTCCTCTGCGGTTCTTCCTAAGCACAGAGAGAGCTCAGGGTGAGACGTGTGCCCACAGGCCTGCAGCTACCCACAGGCAGGCTTTAACAAAGCATGCCACACAGATCTCTCACCCAGAAGGGCCAGCCTGGGGGCTGCCAGGCAGGACAGGCATGGTTTTTTTTTTCTGTGTAAAAACTTTTCTAAATCTGTGACATGAAACTGGGGAGCCACACGTAGGGGTTATCTTCACTCGGTGAGCTTGAAAGTTCCAGTTTAAGCATTCATGTGACTTTAACAGACTAGGAAAACAGTGGGAGGGGTTTTTTGTTCTGTTTTGTTTTACTAACACAGAAATTGGCACATTCTTGGCTGGGGAGGGACAACACTCCAATGTCAAAGTCCAGAGCAGCTGGCGTAACTGCTGCCAGAGACGTCCTGGACCCTCGCCCACGCAGGCCTCCAGTGCCCCAGCTGTCTGTCGTGGCCTGTGGAAGCCTGTCTCGATGTTCATTCTCTCCTGACCTTGCCAGGGCTCCTAGCTGCTTCCCTACGTGAGCCTGGGATACTCATCCCTCAGTCACAGTGAGGGTGTCATGAAGAAAGGTCAGCAGGCCCTCGGCACCTGCTCCCCACATGGATGAGGACAGATGGGAACTTGAGGGCTCCACATGGGAGTAGGTCCAGGGATGAGCCTCAGACACGCAGGGGCATGGGCACAGCACCATTGCCGTATGGTCAGGCATGGGCTTTGAATGTTTGCTGTGAGTTTAAAACACAGATAGCTCTGGGGAAGAGGAGGAGGAAGAGGGGAGGAGGGGGGAAGGGGAGAGGAGAGGGAGGAGAAGGGAAAGGAAGAGAAGGGGAGGGGAGACGATGGGGAAGGAGGAGAGAGGAAGGGGAGCAGAAGAGAAAGATGCCAGGGAGGTAGTACCCAGTCACACCAAAGCAGGCACGGCAACCACTCCATGCATGCTGACTTTCCCTCTGAATGAACTGTGGCTGGGGTACCGGGTAGGAGGGTAACATGTCGCCAACCATGGTACCACATGTCACCTACCCGGTACCACAGTGTATTGGTCTATGGCATATCACAGACCAATACACTGCATTGCAGCCATTGTGTGAGCTGAGGGCCTGGTGTAGGGGTGAGCCCCACAAAGCTATCCGCCCTAAGGGCAGGGATAAGGAAAGTTAGGGCAGGTGGAGATAAAAGGAAGTGAAAGAGAAAGGAATCCCTCTTCTCCTCTCTTCCCCTGGAAGCCGCCACGCTTCTGACTCCCCAGCCTTTCGTGTGTAAGTTCTTCTTCTGGTAAATAAATATATTATATTCCCTATCGCATTGACCTCCCACATCAGCCCGGCAGGCTACGAGTGAGCAAGCATGGCTACACTTGGCGACTCCCCGCTCCTATGCCGGTAAAGGGGGCTGCGATAATAGCTTTCCCCAAAGTTCAGCAAAGCCTGTCACACAGAGCATGCCCAGAATGTACCCAGGGCCTCAAAGTCCAGTGAATTCACACAGAGACTCACAGCCCAGCAAGGAAGGACAGGTCAAAGGGCCGCTCCCCTATGAGGCATGGCGCAGAGGGTTCTGCATGTGTGGCTGCACGGGTGCTGCCTCCTCAGAGCTGGGAAGACCATGGCGGGAGCCCCTGCACGCTGCCGTCACTGTGATAGGCCCAGGACCCAGGGGCAGGACTCCCACACTGTAGCTCTTACCTGCGATGCCACCTGCCAGCCACACAGCGTAGAGGCTGGGCCCTGCGCAGGCCTCAGGTGTGATCCATTCGCTCAGGAACACATAGGGAATAAAGTAGAGGCAATATCCTGGGGTGTCCCTCAGCAGCATGGCACTGGCTCCCCGGTACAGCCCTGCCAGGCCCTCGGTCCTCACAATGGTTGCAATGCAGTCTATTGGTCCGTGATATGCTGCCTGTTCCCCCAGGGCAACTGGCCTGGACTTCAATCCATGGTTGGCTGAAAAGACAGGGGACAGATGGTGGCAAGTGACCGGGCAGGTAAGAGACTGGCCAGCCCCTGGCACCACAGCCAGGCCATCCCATTGACAGCCTCCACTCACACAGGTTATTTGCTTTTGCCAAGCTATCTGTCGCCCTTGGCAGCTTACACCAGAGTTTTGAGACTCCAACCAGGAGCCCTGGCAACCTGTATACCAGATCGGAGACACTACCAGCCAAGTTGCCCTGGGATTCCCAGAGCCTTCTGGTCAACCAACACTATGCATTTTTCTAAGCAGTTGTGATTGTAGAATGCCCGGGATCATTGAAGACAGCCAAGTCAGGCTCGCCCTTGATGGGGAGGATTGGTAGTTGTTCATATTCTCTCTTTCTCTTTTTCCTTCCTTCCCTCCCTCCCCCCCTCTCTCTGCCTCTGTCTCTCCCAACACTGTGTGCACACATACACACAAGCATGCATGCGAGTGCCTGTACTTTGATTGATCAAATGAATGTGACTTGAAGTCAGGCTGTCCTGGATGCCATTGCTCCTCCACCACTTACAAATGCCAGCATTTTTTTTTTTTTACCTTTGTTTTCTAACCTTTAAAAGACTGACGGACCGCTGTCATGGATGTAAGTCAGGTAACATGCCAAGTCCTCAGTGTGATGGGTGGAACAGTGCTGGATGAGATGGCTGGGCAGAGACAGGAAGTGAGATGCTGGGTGGAAACGGGGGGGGGGGGGGATGAGATGGCTGGGCAGAGACAGGAAGTGAGATGCTGGGTGGAAACGGGGGGGGATGAGATGGCTGGGCAGAGACAGGAAGTGAGATGCTGGGTAGAAACGGGGGGGGAGGGGATGGTGAGTGTGGCAAAGGGCATGCTTTTGTTGTTATTGTTTTGTTTGTTTTTTTGAGACAGGGTTTCTCTGTGTAGCCCTGGCTGTCCTGGGACTTGCTTTGTAGGCCAGGCTGGCCTTGAACTCACAGAGATCCACCTGCCTCTGCCTCCCAAGTGCTGGGATTAAAGGCGTGTGTCACCACTGCCCAGCCATCTTACTTCCTGTCTGCCCAGCCATCTTACTTCCTGTCTGTCTGTACAGACCTGCAGACTTCTATGGTTAGTTAGTGGCAAGCTCCAGTCTCTGATCTTCAGACAAGCTTTATTTGTACACACAAGGTTGGGTCCAGTAGGTTAGCAAATGGTGGTCAGTGAGAGGACCCGCTGGCTGGCTGAAGGATGGGCATGTCTGACTCATGCCACCCCTGATCTGGCTGTACCCTACAACAGCTGTAAGGCAACATCAACGGACCCTCAAAGTCCAGGGGCCCAGTACTCCCTTTCCTTTGGCAGTGGGCCCCAGACGTAAACACAAGTGACTCTATGATAGAAGTATCAGTCAGGCCATAAAACTTAGCAGCGGGCAGACAGTGCCACCTGCTAAAACGAAGACAAAGGCCTCGTCCCTCAAAGCCCACAGCTGTGGGGAAGTCTCTAGTGTAATGACTTGCTTTTTGGCTCCTGTAGCTCCACGTCTAGCTATTGGTCCTCGTTAAACCAGATCATGGTTTCTGTGCTTAAAAGCTCATCCTGAGGATGCCGAGGGGCTGTACCGGAAACCCTGAACATCCAGTGTCATCGCCAGATGGTTAACAAGGACTTTCTGTGAGCTTAAACCCATGTTCAGGCAGTTTTCTTTGGTGGATCCCCCACAACATATTCAGGCTCTGGGGTCATGCTGTGGTTTGATCTCTCTTGTGGCTCATGGTCAGAAAGGCCTTCAAATATCAATGAAGAGACTTGATGTCCTTTCCGAAGGGTCTTACTAACACGATGGGACCAGGATGAAGCGCCATTGGTGACCCCAACACTGTTTGAGCCACCTGGGCTCCATCCCCTGACCCCAGCTCTGATTTGGTCATACACATGGTATAACCAGGAAGTACACACTGCAAACAGGAAGTGGCCTTTCATCCTGGGAACTATCTCCCAAGTCCCCAGACATTCCCATCTTTCTCTGATGGACATTCAGCCTTGTGGCTGGGAGGCAGAGGCAGGTGGATCTCTGTGAGTCTAGGCCAGCCTGGTCTACACAGCAAGTTCCAGGACGGACTCCAGAGCAATACAGAGAAACACTAAAACAAAACAACAACAACAACAACAAACCTGAAGTGGAAATTCAAGGACATAAATTTTAACTCATTCCAGATTTCCACAAGAGCAAGAGGAGGCAGCGCTTGCCTGAGAAACATACCTGAGCAAATGCCTACATATGCATTTCCACCCGTGTGGGGGAAGGAAGGTGAGAGGGATAAAGGCCACCTTGGGGTCACTCTGAGCAAGAGCAGATACTGTGGCCCTTGAAAGGCCCCAAGAGAGCACTGTAGGTTCTTGCCTAAAATTGTTGACAATACTGCCAGTGTTATCATTGGAAATTTGCCTTACATCAAATTTCTGGCTGTGTAAACGCTGGCTGGACAGCCCAGCTCTAGCTAAAGCTGGCCTGCACCGGAAGTCAAGGCTTCCTAGACCGGTGTCTATAGCATGGCTCTCAGGAGTTACTGATTGAAAGGCCGTGTCCAGATAATGATCTGCTAATTTGGCAGTGCAGACGGTAAAAGAACCCTGGCCACACTGCCAGCCAGCCCCGTCAATAAATCCCCGCTGTTCCTTTTCTCTATTACCTCTCTTGAATAAGCAATAAGAAAATTCCCTCATACTCTCCCAAGTCCGCAACGTAAGCAATCTAGCTTTTACTGGTTTATAATTACTCATTTGTGGCTATTAAACCAATATAATAGCCAGTGAGACTATGAACTAGACTAAACGACCATTAAGATAAGATGCTGACACAGCCCCACACCAACCCAAACTCAAACTCTTAAGACTTGTCAACTTGGCAGTTCTATAACAAAATACCCGAGGCAATTATCTTCTGGAGAGAAAAGGTTCCTTCTGGCTCACAGTGTGTGTGTGTGTGTGTGTGTGTGTGTGTGTGTGTGTGTGTGTGTGTGTGTGTGTGTGTTCTTTCAATGATATAGTAGCCTCACTGTCTGAGGCCGGTAGCAAGGCAGCACATCATGGTTAGCGAAGACGATTTCACGCAAGTGTGTAGCCTGCTTTGAGCATACCTGCCCAAGGCTCTGCTGCTCACTTCTCTCACCTCTCTGTTCCCATTGCTCCCCGCAATGTGTCTTTCATGACACAGGTACATGTACCATTCCATGCCTATGTAAAATATGAGAGCCAAAAATGAAAGATAACACGCAGTATTTTTTTCCTGAAACTAACTTAATTTGCTTAATGGCTTGTATCCAGCTGATTCAGTTTTCCTGGAAATAACGGAACTTCATTTCTGCATGGCTCAAAAGGTTCTCCAGTGTGTACAACCGTATCTTCTTAGTGCACTCTGTGGCTGACACCTGGCCTGGTTCTCTATCTTAGCTCCAAGGGCTGCAGTAAACCCTGAAATACAAGCGTCTCTGTGATGGGCTGATCTGGAGCAGCACAGGCAGCTGGGTTCTAGTTTTTGAGGAACCATGATTTCCACAGTGGTTAGACTAATTTGCATTCCTACCAAGAGTACCTCTCTGCCCCTTCTCTGGCATTTGTTATCTTCTTTCTTTCTTGTTTGTTTTGTTTCTCATGATTTTCAAGATAGGATTTCTCTGTGTACCAGCTGTCCTGGAACTCACTCTGTAGACCAGGCTGGCCTCAAACTTGGAGATCCACCAGCCTCTGCCTCCCCACTCAGTGCTGGGATTAGAGGCGTGCGCCACCACTGCCCAGCTGTTATTTAGATTTCCATTCTGACTGGAGTGAGATGGAATTCCAGTGTAGTTTAACGGATATTTCCTTGATGATCAGTGACCCTGAGTCCTCTCTCATGTCTGTTGGCCATGCACTTACTGACATGCGTCTACGCATCTCAGCAGGCCATTTATCGATTGGGTTGTTTGGCTTATTACTCAGTTCTCTGAGCTCTTTGTGCAATCTAGGTATTAACCCTGTTAGGCGTCCAGCCATCGAAGAGCCTTTCCCATTCTGTGAGCTGTCTCTTCACTCAGTTGTTTCCTTTGCTGTGCTGAAGCTGTTCCATTTCATGGAACCCCCCCCCCCACTCGACAATTGTTAGCATTATTTCCTGGGTGACTGGAGTCCCGGTCAGAAAGTGTTTGATGGGCCAGTGAGATGACTCAGTGGGTAAAGATGCTGGCTGCCAATCCTGATGACTTGAGTGGGATCTCCTAGGACCCACATAATGGAAGGAGAGAACCAATTCTCACAAGCTGCCCTGCGACATCCACACGTGTACATGGCATGTGTCTCCTCCAACACTAAATAAACAAGTAAGACATCATGAAGTCCTTGCCCATGCTGATCTTCCTCCAATGCATTCTGGGGTTCAGATCTTACATTAAAGATGTTAATCCCTTTGATTTTCATACAGGGCGAGAAATGAAAATCTAGTGTCTTTCTCCTAATGTCACTGTCCAGTTTTGCCAGCAACACTTGTTGAGAGGTTTGTCATTTTCTTCAATATATGTTGCCTACAGCTGTGAGCGTCTATATATCTGGGTGTTCTGTTCTGTTCTGTTCTGCTCTGTTCCGTTCCATGGTCTCCACGCTTGTTTCTGCTCCCATGACTCTACAGTACAACTTGAAAGTAAGCATGGTGATAGACCCAGCCCTTCTCTCTGTTTAGACAGTAATTTTAAGATTTTTTCCCATTTCTATGAAGGATAACACTGGAAATTTTATGGGTTACCTAAGACTTAGTGCTCCTGACTGTTTTGATTTTCAGGAGTCTGTGCTTCCACAGTAATTTTAAGATTTTTTTCTCCCATTTCTATGAAGGATGACACTGGAAATTTTATGGGTTACCTAAGACTTAGTGCTCCTGACTTTAGGTTTTCGGGACTCTGTGCTTCCACAGTAATTTTAAGATTTTTTCTCCCATTTCTATGAAGGATGACACTGGAAATCTTATGGCTTACCTAAGACTTAGTGCTTCCCTCAG